ACCCGGATAGACCTTTTCTCTGCATATAAGAGAAACCTGGGTATAAGAGAAACCCGGGTATAAGAGAGATTCTCTCTGGTCCCAAATTAGAGCCTGAGTTAATGTATATAAAATAGACCAAACCACGGATATAAGAGTGGATGGGATATAAGAGACTTCTTCTCCAGTCCCGACAACTCTCTTATATCTGGGTTACACTGTACATTAGAAGTATAAAAAAAAGAATTTAATTAAAAACTAGTGAAATGATACTTTTGAATGTAATTGTGATGTCATAAAATATATATTTTGCGCTCAATGTGGTCTTATTTAATTATTCCGAATTAAGAGTTATTGAATTAACATATTATTCTTCTGATAGGGAAAATAAATTCAGAATGATTTCCTTTTTGAACATCTATAAAAAAATAATCTATCAGTTACTAAAATGAAACAAAAAGAAACATTTTAAATCTTAAATAAATGCCTTTATTTAATTAAAAAAAAACTCTTCTTACAAACAGCAATGGGATGAATTCCTAAATTGCACAGAAAAATTACATGTATTTTTTAAATAAATATTAAGTGTAGTTTTTTTTCTGTTCAATCTGAAAGAAATTAATGACCAACTTTTAGGTTTTTGAATTATTTTTGGTAAGGTTTGAGATGAAATTTTTGTATATTTCCATTTGATATTGAATAATTGTTTTTACTGTTTTATCTTCTGGGATTTTTCTTAATACAACTATAGAAAAATCAAAAAGTAAACATGAGATATCGAAAAATGGTGGTGGAGGGTGAAATATCCCAAATATTTCCACAAAGCTTTCTAATAAAATAACCAATTTACTACACCATTCATTAATGAATAAGTAATGAAAACTTAACAAAATCAAATGATTTCTTTGATTTTTAGAAAATTTTTAAAATCTGGGTAGCAATTTTTTGGCTTCATTTTGGGGGAAAAGACACATTCATTTCAGTGGTAAACCTTGCTTTTAGCTAGATTTAAACTCTGATATTTAGCACTGTGAAGGTACTGTAGATCTCATGATGGTACCAATTTCATGAAGGTACTGTAGAGATCTCATCAACAAAGTTGCTCTCAACAAATATTTATTAGGCTTAAAAGTCTGAAAGAAAAGTGATATTTAAAAAGCATCTTTAAAAATGAAAAATCTTTCAGAGTCTGTCTAAGAGTGTGAGTTCAATACTCGGTTAAGGCAGTGGAGAACTTTCAGAGGGAAATTAGCAGGAGATAACTGGTAACTGACATCCATCAAAAACATGGCACGTGGAACTAGAACAGTCTACCCCAGTGAGCGAAATAAAGGGTTCAGTTCGAAATTCCAACCACCTGAAGTAGGCCGGAGCGTACAACGGCCGAAACGTTGTGATAAATATGGTGACAAAGATGAGGACATTAGTCCGAATAATGTAATGAAAAATCTTTATTGAAGTTTTTATTTTAGTTTAAATTTCAAGCTAATTAGAATTTAAATTTAATATTTCTAATCAAAATACTTTTCTGTATTTCAAACAGAATTTAAAAATTGATTGGAATGTTTTGTTTTTTGTTGTTTTTTTTATCAAAACGTTTAAAATCGTCCATAAGAAATCTGTGAATACAACATAATTCTCCTTATTAAAAACTCATTCAAAAATAAAATATACTTCTCTGAAAATTTATTTGAGGAAGATTAGCCGATTTAAAGTTTAATTAAAACAAATATTACTTACTTTTTAACTTAAAATATCGCAGAAAATAAAAACATTTTAAGAACTAAGAAGCGGATGTTTTTCTCAAGACTTATGTTTGAAAATTTTTTCACTAACAATTTCTTGACTGAATGCCTTTTTTTTATTATAATTTGTTTTTTAACTACCCAATAATCTTAAATATTTAAGACAATATTTTAAGAAATCAAATATTTTATTGAATTTTAATTATTTTAGATACTTTGGTTTGATAGTCGAAGTTACAAAGATGCTTGTTGATGAAATATTAAAAAATTACCAATAAATTTTAGTTTGTTCTTATTTTCTGATAATTTCGTGTTTGGACATATCTGTATTTACAAAAATTCAAATTCAAGTTTCTTTTTAAAATATTGTGTGTCATTGAATTGTAGTGAGTTTTTCCATTTATGAGTAGTAAAGTAACAATATCACTTGATCACCACAAAATACAGATTTCTTCAAGTTTATAAATTATTCTAATTAATTTTTTTTTTTAAAATTGAAAATAATTCTTGTAAAAATTCATTATTCATCGAAAAATAATTTTTTAAGAGACAATAATGTAACATATTTTATTCATAAAAGCAATTAAAGAATTTCTAATTAAATTTAATAATGTAATAGTTTTATTTTTTATTTTACGATTCAGAGCAGATTTTCTGTAACTGGGGGTGATGTTTGACCAAAAAGATTTAATAAAATCAGAGGACTTGTCCTTAAGACTTAATGTCTAAGTCTACAAAAACGAATTTCTCTAAATTTCATAAAAACGTTATGAAATTTAGTGGGGGTTATATAAAAAAATATTTTTACAAAGATTTTCTAAAAAAGATACGTTTCTAAAATAATTTCTTTCATTTGTAAATAAGTCCTGTAAGTGACATAAAAGTTACATTAGAATCCTACAACTATCTGATGTTTTTTCAAGAATTTCCAAAATTAATGTTTTTTACACCGAAAAAAAAAAAAAACCCTAAATTTTACCATATTAATTTATGATGACCATCTGAAACAAGAAAAACAAAAACCAAAATTTCGAAGGTTCTAAAAACGGATAAAAAAATAGTCAAACAACAAATACTTTGATGATAAAACTTTGTTGTTATTATTTGCGATATTTTTTTTTCAGCACGTATGCTTATTTTTCAGCGAAAGACAGAGGTACTTGTTACAGCAGACATAGTATGCAGAAATCCTGCAGCAGACCATATCTGCTTCCTTGTACCTCTTTTAGTCTTTAACTCTTACTTTACTTTATTTACATTCCTCCTCCTCCTTCTGGATGATTGATATTTATAATGAATAAGTTGAAAATAAGTAAATTACATAATTGTTTGTATGAGTTCTTCTTTCGTGAATTTTCATTTTAATAAATTGTCCATTTATTAACAATATCTATTGAATAAAATACATGAAAATAAATTACTCCCATAAAGTTATTTTTTCCCGAATTTACAAAATATCTTTTCATCCTTCCATGAATTATCTCCCTTGATTTCCGCTTTTTGAAAAAAAAAAAAACATTGTTTTGATCGCTCACGATGGCTGTTATGAAATTTAATCCAACCAGAAAATTTTAGTTTACTTAAAAAGTTTACAGCTTGTCACTTTTCTCTTGTGTTGCATTGCCTTAAGAAAGACAAACCAGATGAAAAAAAAAAAAAAAAAAAGCTGACAGAAAGAAGTAAGTATATAACATTTTCTTTACAAATAAATTTCGAATACTGATTTTTTGTACGTATTTCACTACAGGAAAACAGTTTTTTTTTTTTTTCATTTACGAATTAAGACAAAGAGTGTAAATTTGCGAAAATATATATATATATATTTTTTTTAAAAGTGATTAAAAATATGGAATTTAATTTCTATTATTTTTCCCTTATTTTGTTTTTAGCTTTTCTTCATTACCATTTTTTTATATAGTTTTTTTTTCTCTTTGTTTTTATTTTGACTTTTTAAATAACTTTAACAAAAATCATAAAGCCAATTTCAATTAAACAAAAAAATCAATTAAAAAAACACAAACTCAAAATTAAAACGGCGGAAATTTTCGTACATTAGAAATTAATTTTTTACGGGTATTTTCATTTGTCCTATCTGTTTTCAATAATTTTTTAATTCTTATTCAATATATTCGCTACAGATATTGAACCGGCGTTACTTCGCTTATGGTCACTTTATCAAAATGAAAAACCCATCGAGGGTTAAATAGTGGGGCAAACTGGGCTGTCTAAACATCGTTGGCAATCAGTCTAGGAGAAGGTAAGGATAGCTCTGAATTCAAATGCGGGCTGAAAGCAATGGAAAGCAATTCTGTTATCTTTCTCAATATAGCCATGATAATGAACAGTTTTTACACTTTACAGTTATAAACGAAATCGAAGCGCGAAGAACTATGATCACCTACAAACAACATGCATGCAATAAAATTTGGTTTTTTAAAAATTCATAACATTATTGTATAATTATTGTATTATTGTCATCAGTATTTATGAAGCAGAATATGTTTTTAATTTATGTGTTTCCGTCTAGAAATCATTCAAGAAAAAAAAATTAATCTGATACCAACATTATTTTTAAAACCATAGATGCAAACTTTTGTATTTCTATGAAAATGTGACAATTAGAAACACGTTAATGCTTAAATTGCATGTCTACAGGAAATTTGGTTGTCAAGTTTTTTTAATTAAAAATCGGAACATCGGAATTCCAAACAATAATAAAAAAAATAAGCCTGTTAAATAAATCATTTGTATTTACAAACATGTACATGAATACAAAAGAGTCAAAAATGAACAAAAATAAACTTTAGTTGAGTTAAAGTCTTCAGGTAGCTGATCCACAGAAAAATGTGTGTTTTAGAAAAGACTTTGATTGTCAGTGAACATTCACTGACTGTCTGAGTTGTTGTTAGAGAGGATTCATTGCAGACACGTGTTTTGTTTAGAACACGCTAGCAGGAAGGAAAAAGCTATGTAGCCATGTTTTCTGTTGTGTTTGAACAGCTTGGAAACAGTCACATCTCTACTGCTGAAAGTTGAAATCTGTGGGTTTTTATAAGAAATTTTTCCTGAAAGTAGGCTTGAAAACAATAGTGTTTTAGTTTTCTCTGATTGGATAAGTATTTTACATGGTGATATTAATTTCTAACCAATAGACACTTTGATTTAAACAGTGTGTGTGTGTTGTATTGTGGAATCATTTTTGAAAATTTTTAGGTCAAGAGAGAACAAGAGACACTCACTGTGTTACTGGCCCTAAGAACCTACTGATACTTTTTTTTAATGGACTGTGATTGGACGGCTCAAAGGTGACCCCCGCTTTGAAAGGGAAGGGAGAACTGGGACTGGCAGTTGGAAATGAGACACCTCAGAAAGAAGAGGTTTCTTTTCTCTCTCTCTGCTGAAAAGGCAGGCAGTATTTGCCCATATGTGAAGGATGCATGGGTAACAAAGTTGCTGAGGGCAAGTTTCCCCTTCAGAGAAAGTTTTGAGAAGTCCTCTCAAAGAAGTCCCCAGAAAAGAAAGTTTGAAAAGAAGTCCATAAGTGGAGTTTGGAGTTAAAGCTGTTTGAGATGAAGAAGGAGCAAACACGTACGTTTTCAAAAAGTGTTTTACCACGTGTTTAAGTAAATTTTCACCTTCTAGCAGTCGTAAAAGAAAAGCGTAATTTCCAGGTGGACAGGAGGAAAATAAGTGAAGAAAGAAGAGAGTTTGGTCACCAAGAAGAGAACTTTGTCTACACAAGAGAGAAAAGAAAAAAAAAAGATAAAATCTTTTGAACCTTGAAAGAACTGAAAGTGCACTGAAGAGCTAAGGCTCCCCCCTTTTTTATTGTTATCATTGACGCAGCAGGGGTGGGGTGCAATTCTTTTTTTCGGTTTTTTGGTGCATTGTAATTTTTAAGTTTGTTTTACTTTTCTGCTATGTTTTTTTACATTGTGTCACTCAGAGAAGAGGTTATCTTATTCTCAGCAAAAAGGGACAAATTTTTGCAAGAACCCTTATTTAGCTGGTTAGAAATAAATATTTTTTCTTTGTAACTGAATCTGATTTGCATTTTTTTCTTTCTTTTTCGTTATTAATTTGGGCAATAGTGAAAATACTGTTGCAGTTGGTTTTATTTTCTTTCAGAAAATAAAATCTCTGAAACATTTTGGCATGTTTATTTCTGATATGTGTGAACATTTCAATGGATTTATGTCGACATTGACTTGTTTGGACTAATGTTTTCTTAAACGGTGTGAATTACATCTTACAGCTTGTACAATCAACAGAGCAATTTTGGCAATGTTTAACTGTTGTGCCCCCTACCCCCAAAAATGTGCCAAAAGAATTGTTTTTCCCTTGACACCAGTATTTAAACTACCGAGACTCACTCAGATATGTTTATTTACAAGATTATAAAAATATGTGAACCAGGTACAATGAAATATTTATTATTTACCGTTTTATAAAGGAATAAAGTTGAAAAGAAATCTTTTTATTCAAAAATTTATAAAACCTATTTTTAATGAATTGTGTTCTTTGGAATTATTGGCAAAACACTGGTGAATAGCCAATCGATTTGAAATTTATCAAATGGTAAATATAGATTTTTATTATAGTTGGTTCATTTATTTTTATTTAGTAAACTTTTATGAATAAAAAAATTGTTTTCATATTTACTTTTTTATAAATTGGTAAATGATAAACATTTCATTTTATTAGTGGTTTGGCATTTTTAAAATGTTGTAAATATAAAATTATTCTTGTAAATAAACAATCTAATAATGTTTCACATTTTGGTTGAAACTTCCCAAAGAACAAAGAAAATGTATAAATTCACTTTCATATGTTTGGGCTTTTATTACAATTCTAATCATCACTTTTTAAAACAATAAACATTACCAAGGGAGTGAAGGTAGTACAAAATAATAGTGGTATCAAGGGAAAACCATGCTTTTCACGCACCATTTTATTGCAGGTATGAAAATTAAACATTGTCACAATTTGTTTTGTTGTTAGCACAAAATTTCTGTTGAAGCTTCCAACCTTTTTCAGGTATCTATCATAAATGGTAATCTTTAAGAAATTCCAAACAAAACCAGCTATTCAATACACCACCTGGGTAAATTATTCTCATTCTTGCTAAGACATGCCTCATATTAATTCATCATTGTGATATCACTTGTTTCATAACATAGGACATTTTTTTAAGTATCTAACTGAGGAATTGAACTCATGACCCCAAAGAAATTCAATTCACTTAAACACTTTTATCCAAAAGGGCATGTGTCCTGTTGGGCAATTTGTGACTGGAAACTTAGAGCCTCAAAACCTGGGTCACTTGTCTCTCTTCAATTGAACTTGTGTCATCACTAATCTTGTTTAAAAATAACAATCTCATTCCACGTTGATCTATCATTTGTATTATAAGTTTGAAATCTTCTGACAAATAAATGACTGCATTTTATTGTACTGCATCCCAAAAGTAATATTTTTGTACTATTTTCACTATTTCTGATTGATGACATCAACAACTACTGCCAGGTGATTTTTTTATAATCAACAATAAATAAAGAATATATGTCTTTCAAGAACTGTAATGTATTGTGCATAAAAATGCCATTTTTTTTAATTTAATGGCATTTCTTCTCATAAATCTTCTTATGGCTGATGGCCTGTCATTAAAGAAAAAACAAAACAAAACCGGTCCCCATACTATCACCATAGTTAAGCAACATCGAACTTGGTTAGTACCTATATGGGTGGCTGCTTCAGAATACCAGATGCTTTATGCTTGATTGTGTGGGTGGTATAATGAATAATGTCTTGGAATTGAGTTCCAATTCCAACTGGGTTCATTATATTCACTTACACACAAATACCCTTGGGAAAGGCATAAATCCATCACTTCTCCCTCCAGCTATTAGTTAATTAGTAATCTTGTATCATTAAACCATCATTATCTCGGAAAAAAAAATTATAATTTTATAATACTTTCTGGCTTTGAATAACCTGTAAAGGGTTGATAAGCCATAGAAAATTAACCAATCAATCTTCTGCTAAGGAAACCCCAGATATAGCAGTCTATACACTTGAGATTATTGAATCCTTTCCAACTCAGATAATTTTTTTTCTTTTTATGGCTAGTTAGAGGCTCCAAACAGGATAAATAAAAAAAATACTTTATCCCCATTTGTTCAAAATTTGAAAATGTGGTTAATTAAACCATGTCTTTTTGAAAATTTTAATTTTGCGGGTTTTCAACAACTTGAAATTGGATCCTCTATTTTGTGAATTTTAATTTAGCAGGTTTTTAACAGCCTGAAATTAGAGCCTCTATTTTGCAAATTTTAATTTGGTGGATGTTTAACAACATATAATGGGGGCCTTTTTTTTTTGACAAATTTTAATTTTGCAGGTTTTTAACAACATGAAATTGGAGCCTCTATTTTGCAAATTTTTATTCATGTTTTTTATATAAACTAACTGACTTCATTGACTTTTTTGTTGTTTAAAGAAGTTGTGTTAGTAACTTTCTGTGTTTGCCTAATTTCTATTATTTTTCTTCATAAATATTTTTAATTTTTTAATAATTTTTATAGTCTTACAATCCAAAAATATTTTCTGGCTTGAAATAACCCGCAAAGTGTTGATAAGACATAGAAAATGAATAAATCAATCAAAAAACAAAAATATTCAGTTTTAACTGAAGCATGTTTGAATGTTTTCTTTATATTTTCAGTTTTTCTATTTATATTTTCTTTGAGTAGAAAATTCTCAAGATTTTTCTACTTGACAAAACATTGTTAATATTTTATTCACACAAATAAATCTTGAATATAATTCCCATGAATCTTTCAGGCTGCATTTCTGGGATGAGGGGGTTATCATTATTTACACTATTTACATTTAAACTATTGTCTTCATCTTTGTTGTTGTTATCACGTTTTGGCCATTGTGTCCTCCACCCTTCATCAGCTGTACATCAATCTGTGTAACCTACAAGAATTCTGAACTGAACCCTTTATTTAATCTTGGGATATCACATTTATTTCTTATTGTTAGTACTGCTCAGTTATTGTTTGCCCTGTTTCTACTGAGTCCAAGTACAAAGTGCGTGGGCCAGTGTTTGAACTCACAATACTATGCTTCCAAATTCACAAACTAATGCTTTAATCCATTAGGCTATGGGACAATAGCCTAGTAGATTAAAGCATTTTTTATGAAATATTTTACTCACTTATCAATAACTGGCTGCTTTTCATTTGAACTGGAGTAAAATAATTTTAAGCTTTGTCCTTTTCAAAATAATTAAAAATATTAACATTTTATTTTCTGCTAATATACAAAGGATCATATTTGACACAAACATGATTTATCAGTTCAATGTTAGTTTGAAAAAATTTTACACATATTATCAATAATGGAGTTTCCTTTTCACTCCTAAATAAAACTGATGCAAAAGTCAAATGCAAATATATAAATAATCATTTGATTTATTCTGGCTCAAAGAACTGTAGTTTATTAATTCTATTCTTGATTGAACCTGGAAAATGAAATCTACTGCAGTTCACTGAAAGACAAGCTGAGTTTTTATAATTATAAATAATGCATCATTTTTACTGTTATCTTTTAAAAATACTTCTTCATTCACAAATATCATTTGCAGTGGAAAGCGCACTGATTCATCTGATGATCATATATAAAAATTGTATAAAATACAATAATTTTCTTTCAAAAATAAACATTCACATACATTTGCTTAAAACTATATTCTTCTAATGCCAAACATACATACACTAAAGAAAAACACTGCACATATTAAATCTGGGATCAGAATTTAAAATGATGCATGTAAACATACATACATGAGGAAACATATGATGGTGGGCTGAAAAGATCATACGCTGACTATGGAGGAGTGATGCTACAGCTGTGAAATCTTGCATTAATTTCAACTCTTCTTATTAATAACTGCATGGTTTCTTTCCAGATAATTTAACTATTCAAAGAAGACTTCAAAAGTAACTACTAGTGATTTCTCTTGAAAATGGACAAAATTTGTCATCATGGTATATTATTAAGTACCTGCAGAAAAAGGGTTTTGCCCCCAAGGATTTTCATTCTGACATGGTTGCTACATTATGGGAGATGCTCTAGCTTTATCAACAGTGCAATACTGGGCAGCTGAATTTAGGAAGGGAAGGGAACAACTTGAAGATAGCCCAAGGTCTTGATGTGCTGCAATTGCCACTATTGAGGAAAGCATTGATTGTGTTCACCACATGGTAATGGATGACAGGCAATTGACTATAACTCAAATAGCCAATGCTATTAGCATATCCAGTCAGAGAGTTGAGAATATTCTGCACAATGAACTTGGCATGATGAAGGTTTCTGCTTGTTGGGTGCCACATCTTCTGACACCTGATCAAAAGCACACAAACTGATCACATCACAAGAAAATCTAACATTGTTTGAAGTAGATCTGACTGGTTTCCTAGAATGTTTCCCAACCCAACATCCCCAAATGATCCATGCAGTAGAAAAACCACTCCTCACCTACCCCCAAAAAGGCCAAGGTCATTTCAACTGCAGGGAAAGTGATGGCCTCAGTTTTTTGGGGGGGAATGTAAAAGGCATTGTGTTTATTGACTATCTTGAGAAGGGCTACATCATCAATTATAGCAATTTGCTGAGGCAGTTACAAAAGGCTATCAAAACCATATGCCCAGGAAAACTGTTGAAAGGTGTCTTGTTTCACCAGGAAAATGCTCCAGCACACAAGTCTTTGATTTCAATAGCTGCTGCATGTGACTGTGGCTTTGAACTGGTTGATCACCCTTCCTGTTTTCCTGATTTGACTATCATCTGTTCCCAACATGAAAAAACACTTGGCTAGGAACCAATATTGCTATGATGATGATGTCATATCTGCTGTTGATGATACCATCAACAGGATGAATAGTCTTCTTTGAACAGTCAGATGCAAGATTTCACAGCTCTAGCATCACTCCTTCATTGTTAGCCTCTGAACTTCTCAGCCCACCCTTGTATATTGGTTTGAATTTTTTCTGAAAATTCTTGTTCAGATACCTGTACACAGCACACTTGAGATAAGTCTTATTCTTGTCATGATTCGCTGAATCTGCTTTTTAAATTCCACTTGCAAACTTTTCAGAAAAATCTTAATATTATTTTATCTGAATTCAGAAGAATAAAACGTCAATACAATTTTAATTAAACTTTTCTTACATGTAAGATGTAAACATGAAAAGTCATCTTTTCAGTTTGATTCATTTTGTTTTTTAACATCTTAACATGTTGGACACAAACTTGTTTTATTTGTTCAATGTTCAAATATAAATAGATTTTCCTCATATTTTATAAGAATAGAATCTCTTTTTTCTTATTAATAAAACTTACGTAAAAGCTAAAATGCTAACTTATAAATAATTATATTTGATTCATTCTTATTTGAGAACAATAGAAAATCTTGCAGTTTACTGGAAGCCAGTCTGAATTTTAATAATCTTATAACTGCATTATTTTTACTGATATCTTTAATAATATTTCTTTTTCATTCACAGATATCATTTGCTGTCAGAAACAAATCCATCTGATGATCATATATAAATGTAATATAAAATACAAGTATTTTCCTTCAAAGATAAACACACAAACTTACATTTGTTCAAAAACATATTCTTGTAATCACAAACATACTAGAAAAAACTCAGCATTTAATAAGTCTGTGGATGAACATTTGAAAAGACAGGGAACACCCATTCAAGAGAATTCCATCTTTTCACATATTTGGTTCTGAATAAGACCTTATTCTTACAATGCTATACATAAATATTTTCACTAAATTCACATTTCAGGAAGCACTTGCAGACACATTCTTTATAAAAATTTAATTTTCACAAAATGTGTGCATCAACATATTTAAAAAGTTCAGATTTCAAAACTCATATGCAAACACATCCTGGAGTGAAACACTACACTTGTGAAGTATGTGGATCAGCATTTTCATATAGTTCACATTTAAAAGTCCATATGCGAACTCACACTGGAGAGAAACCCTATACTTGTGAAGTGTGTGGATCTGCATTTACAAATAACTCACATTTAAAAAGACACATGCGGACACATACGGGGGAAAAGCCATTTTCTTGCCAAATGTGCGGATCAGCATTTTCACAAAGTTCTGCTTTAAAAATACATATAAGGACACACACCAGAGAAAAACTTTATGCATGTGAAGTGTGTGGATCAGCTTTTTTAGAAGATTCTGATTTAAAAAGACATATCCGAACACACACTGGAGAAAAGCCCTATAATTGTGAAGTGTGTGGATCAGCATTTTCACAAAGTTCACATTTAAAAAGACATCAGCGAATACACACTGGAGAGAAACCTTATACTTGTGAAGTGTGTGGCTCATCATTTTCAAATGGTTCACATTTAAAAAGACACATGAGGACTCACACTGGAGAGAAACCATTTCCTTGCAATGTGTGTGGATCTGCATTTTCACAAAGTTTTGATTTAAAAATACACATGCAAACACATACTGGCGAAAAAGCTTATAAATGTGAAATTTGTGGATCAGCATATTCACAGAGTTCTCCTTTAAAAATACACATGCGCAAACACACTGGTGAGAAACCCTACACTTGTGAAGTATGTGGATCAGCCTTTTCCCAAAGTTCACATTTAAAAATACATATGCGGATACACACTGGGGAAAAACCATATTCTTGTGATGTGTGTGGATCAGCATTTTTGCAGAGATCACATTTAAGTAAGCACATGCGTACACACACTGGATAGATGTTATTTTTTGCGAAGTGTGTTGGTCAGTTTTTTGGTGAATTGAGCTTCAAAATAATACATGGAAACATATAATCAAAAGACAGTGTTCTTGTGAAATGTGAAACTTAGTCAAATTATATTTACTTTAAATCAGATTTGACAAAATGCCATAATCCTAAAGAAAATATTTTTTGGCAAAGTATGCAAATGTTTCTTTTCACATTGTTGATATAACACGCAAACTCATTTGTGAGCTATGTTCTTCAGAAATTGTAATTAATGTTGTACATAAATCTTAATTTTAAATCATCCTGATTAAAATAGTTGGGTTTTTTTCTATTAGAATTTATGTGTGAATACAATCTAGTGATTAAACATTTAATTTTTCTATAATTTCCATTTTAGATGTGTATGTGTAAAAATAAAGTTTTTTAAATGTTATTCTTGCAGATTCCCTTTCAGTGAGACAATATATATATATATATATATATATATATATATATATATATATATATATATATATATATATATATATATATATATAATGATCCAATATGGTAATTTCCATGGAATTTCCAGGATATATAGATCTAGGGAGAGCTCTATGTCAAAAGACAGAGCTAAATTATTATTAATTAAAGAATATCAAACACTTAAAATCCCAAAGGTAATAATTTTTATTTCATGAGAGCTATAAAAAACAGCAGCTCTCAATCTTCAAGACCTACAAACAAATCACAGATGAAATGGAAGAAATATTCCAGGTTAAAATCAAGCCATATTGCTATCTTATTTAGTGAGTGGGAAAAAACAGAGTGTTGACCTATTTTGATATACTGACCTCAGTATATTATTTGAGGATGGTGAAAGGGCTTAAAGTTTATTTAGTTCAGTGTGAATTGGAAACAATTCCATCTGGTTCTGTCAATGGCCAAATTTCAATTCTGATATATTTCATTCAATAAATCCTTTGTAAATAATATTAAAAGAGAATATTTTTAAAGATTTCAAAATTAGCAAAAAATTTTCATAAGCTTTTTATAAAGAACCAAGAAATTTAAATTAAAATACCTAATAGATTTGAATTAAATAATTATTAATTATATTCAAAAAAACATATTTATAAAGGTTATGTACCTAGAATAATTTTTCATTTTCTTCTTTTATAGGCACTAAAAATATTAAGTTATCTTTTAAAAGAGGCAAAAATCAACTGGTCATTGTATAATAGACATGGATTTTATTTGTGCTAAAACTAGAAACGGTTAAAAGCAATGTTGTCACACCTCCAAAAACCTAAAAGATATCATACACAAAAGGATGTAGCCAGGATTAAAACATTAGTTAAATTAGATATTTAGACACTATAATATAAACAATGTGTGGACGTCAGTCAGTTATGTGCCATGCATGATACATGCTTATGTATCTTTCAAAACATGACTGACGAGGCAGATTTTTTTCTTGCAGTAGGTTGGCATTTCTTTCTGTGGTAGACCATTTGCCATTCAAGTCTATAGAACCTGGTCTGTCCTGCTATTTACCCATTTCTGGGGGGAGAAGAAAGGGATTCATACCTTTCCCAAGGGTATTAGCACGTAAGTGAATGGAATGAATTTGACTGGAATTCAAACTCAGCTATCCGATTTTTCAATCTGAGCCGCTATTCATTACTCTACTGTGCCTCCTCGTACTTTCAGTAAAATAACAAAACCAGCAAATTAAGATCAAAAATTATACTCACTACTCCTGGACAAGGAATTTGACATGAGAAATAACACCCCATCAATAGATAATATGAATTATTTGTAAGTACAAGCTTTTCATACTAAAACCAAATATTCTCTTGCAAAGTTTGATTTATGACTGGTGCTTGTCATTCCCACAATGAACTACTTGCTCTGACAGAGACTCATTCTTTTTCTTTTCTACAGTGCCAGTGTTATCATACTTATTATAAAACCCAGGTTGTGTGTGTGTGTGTGTGTGTGTGTGTGTCTGCATGTTTATATATTGGATCGAATTTCCTACATTTTTCAACCGATTTCAACAAAACTTCACAGGACTACGTAAAATTACCTTGCGGTGGTTCTGACAGCGCCCAAAATTGTAAAAATACAATTGTTTTTGCACGAAATCAATTTGAAAACACAATTAAGAGGCATCACTGTTGCGAGAATGAAAGGGGGACAACTCATATCGAGTTATACTTATTATAAAACCCAGGTTGGTTGTGTGTGTTCATTTATATATGGGATCGGATTTCCTACATTTTTCAACCGATTTCAACAAAACTTCACTTTTGTTTTTGGCAGGTAGTGTTTCTTATTGTCTTCCACACTTTTTTCTTTATTTTTACATTCAGAATGCTTTAAAAATTTCATTTACAAGACAATTGTTTATAATAAAATTCTATTCAATCGGTAGACTCATAACAATTGAAAACAATGTTTTTCTTTGAGTTTGACCAATTCGTAAAAAAGCAAAACAAAACAAAAAAAAGAACTAATTAAGACATGCGTGACCGTCAACCTTAAACAATAATCTTTGTCAATTTTATTTTTCAGTCTTTATGATGGTCGATACTTGATCTATCTCTTACTGTTACATCACCGGGCAATGCCGGGCTCTACTGCTAGTAACTAATAAATAGCTGTTATTGTTTGTTCTATAAATCCATGTTTGTGTTTATTCATGTTTCTATAGTTAAAGGTGTTGCTACCTTAGGGCCAATGAAAGAAATTGTAGCCATCACACCCTTTACAATGTCTTATTTGTCAGGTTACCAGTCATCACGTAAATAGATTTTATATCCAGTTGAATATAGAAAAATATGGATAGAAATAAAATATTTAGTCAATAACAGTATGATACTACATATTTATATGAAATATTATATTTTTATCAGAATTTTACTAAAATTCAAAAGATAATTAATCTCTCTGAACTATTAAATAGCAAATTAGCAAATAAAAAGCAAATTCCAAGTCCTATTAATCTAATACTTGAAATTTATAAAAATGTAGGAAAATCAGTTGTCCAGGTTTTATAAGTATTTGAAAGGGATAATAAAGGGAGCTAATCCTTTAGCATTCAAAGATCAACCTTGAACTTGAAACCCTTACTAATTCAGGACTCTGATTGGCTAACTGCTGTCCAATCAGGATTTTTTTATGGGACCATGTGGTAAACTTGATTCTAAAATCTTCCGTTTTTGCAAGTAACAACTGTAGTGACCACATGTTTATTTAACCCGTCCTTTCCAATGTTAATGGAATACAGAAGCCACAAGACTGCAAATCCCACTTGTTCCTTGGTCACTCTTCTAACAGTTAAACCACAAATATAAATTATATTTGCAAGCCTTCTTTTTACCTTTTGTGCATTCAGCCTTTTCTGTACATTAAACCTGTTGAATTTAATACTGTCATTGAGTTGCTCCTCTTCTTCAAGTGTTTCCGTTTTTGTCTTTGACTTTGTAGAATTAACTGCACCCAAGAAAATCTTTATATTTTTATATTAAAAATCTGAACATCCAAATTTCAACAAATAATAAAATAAAAATAAAGAAAATATGGTTATGTATGTTAAATAAATCATTTGTACTTGCAAACATATTTACATGAATTCAAAAAAGTTAAAAAATTAAAAGTAGTTTTCAGTTGAGTAGTTGGCACCCAGAAAAAGGCATAGTTTAAAAAGCCACAGTCTTTAGTTGATCTTTGGTGAGTTGTTATACAGAAAACACTATAGCTCAGAAAAGAGTTTTAAATAGTTGGTCCACAGAAAAATTTGTGGTTGAGAAAAGACTTTTATCATTGGCAACAATTCACTAACCATTTTGCTGTTGTTGTTGGAGATGATTTATTTGATGTCATGAACTGTTTGACAGTGAAGATTCCCTGACTGTCCAAGCTGTTCTTTTGTAACTGATTCATTTGAAGTCACTGACACGTTTCTTTCAGCATGCACTCAAGGAGGAGGGGATTTACATCTTTCTTCAGCTTGAAGAAAAACACTTCTTTTATCTTTGAAAGTCAAAATCTGTGTGTTTTAATAAGAAATTTTATCCAAAAGTAAGCTTGAGAAGAATAGTGTTTTAGTTTTCTCTGATTGGTTAAATATTTCACATGGTGATATTAATTTCTAACCATCTGACACTTAGATTTAAATGGTGTATGTTATATTGTGGAATCTTTTGGCACATTTGAAATAGTATCTGTTATTGGGTAGAAAATAGTTTGGTGCATGTTTCAATATGGTGGCTATGTAATTTCTGTTCGAAATGGGATTTATTTCCTATAAAAATAATACTGAGTGAATAATTTTGCACCTAATATTAACCTTATATCAAATGGTATATAATGATAAAAATGATAGTGTTGTCATAATTTTTTCTTTTTATCAATAGACACAGATCAAAATGTTAATAAATGAGTCAGTTCAGATCTTATCACCAATTATTGGAACAATTTATATACATTACACAATGAGAAAAATTCAAGGTTTTCCTATAAACTGTTTAGTTTATTTTGGGAAACAAAATAAAAACATTAGGTTGGAATAAAATGAACCAAGTACTTTGGTGTTGGGAAATCAGGTAACTGATGCAATGGCTGAATGACATCCGAAAGAAAATTGGTTAATAAAATGAGGAAGTGGTTACTCTTGCTGCACTTTTGTTGAGATGTGTGGACACTTTTCAGTAGATGTGGTCATCTGGTACCTTTGTCCCACAAACAATATTGGCAAACTCATGTGAGTTTGAGCAAATGGAGCCACAAAAACATGGCATTTAAAAAGACAAGTATTAATAAATATATTAAATGGACATGTTACAAAAAAGGAAAATGAGACTGAAAGTTAAAGTTGTGAAGAGTTCAAAGCAACTTTCAGTATGTGCCTTTTGTACCTCAACACTACAATGAGAACTGTGTTTATTATGAGGAAAGAAATTGACTGACAGATCATTGGTAATATTGCATCACCTTTAATGGTACATATGTTGGTCAATTTGATCCAACCTCATCTCACTAAGACATTTAACACTGTAACATTAAGTTTAGAGTGATTGATCGTAAGGATAGTTTAGATTTTCATGTAATCTTTTCTGTTGAGAGAAGCAAAATAAAATTATTACTGAAAGGGTCAGTTAATATTTTGATACTAACATTACAAAACAAACAATACACTATGATAAAAAGTAATGACTGTTAATGTCATTTGTTTCTTTTATTAAAAGAAGCTATGCAAATACATTTCTGAAAGACCCAGTTATCATTCTCCAATTAAAATTTGATCATATATATAAATTTATAAAAAGCTAAGGTAGTCATGTATTATCTTTTGCTTCTTGATACAAGCAAAGTAAATATACTACTATAGTGGACCGTGGCTGTGATGTTGTTGAGTAGACGTAGAAGAACACATGCGGTTTCAGATTTTCCTGCTAGCCGATCCAACTACATAAAAAGGTTGGACTTTAATTAAGTCCAAAGAATGCAAAGAAAACAAACAAACAAACACAAGACCAATAATATATGTATACAAATATATATATTAATAACAAGTTACATGGGAACAGTTACAAAGGACAAAGTGTGTGTGTGAATATTATATATGTGCATGTGTGTGTGTGTATAATGTTCTTAGCGTGTTCCCAGCGTTTGGGAAATGCTATCTCTGTGAGTGTTCACATCTTCGAGGTAATAAGGCTGAAAGCCTGAGGAAAAAGAGAGATTTACCTCCAGGTGTCAGCCCAAAAGCCTGAGGGGAAAAAGAGGAAGAAGCGAAGGGTCAGCGACTATTTATAGCCAGGGAAGAGAGACCCCTGGTGAAAGGGTTAATGAACTAAAGGAGGAGTTAACTCTGACACTACTGAAGGTTTCAGTTATCATTCTGTTATTCATAGACCAAATGATTTGGTTTGTTAAATTGTTTAGTGGCATATCAACATCTATGGGTTATTTAATGCTAAAATCTAAATATTCTGTAAACAATTTTATGGCTTCAGCTACATGTTTTGAAAGTAATTTTATGCCTTCAACTACAGATATTTTGGACATAATTTTATACTTTCAGGGTAAAAGTATGTTTTTTAGATATATCATTTGTAGATGATAAAATGTAGTTTTGGTAATTTTTAAAAAAATCTATTGCTGGTAATTACACTACAAAAACATATTGGTAATTTTTTCTAAAATTTTGCTAAAAAATGTATTTTTAAACTTTTTTAGTGTTATTTTGCTATACAAAAGTATTGTTGGTAATTTTACTATAAAAATGCACTGTTAATTTCTGTTTGAAGATT